GTTATCGCGAGATTTCATAGATAATTTGGAAGACTTGTCTACTATTTGAATCATGTCTGAAGAATTTTTTACTAGCTTTTCTTGGCTAGGTACTTTGCAACTGATCGCATTGTCTACCATTAGATAATGGTATTTCCTCAGAATCGCATCTTTGTCTTCATCTTCCTGTTCGTTTTTGGATCTTTCTTGTTTGGTTGGGGTTTCGATGACTTTTTTCTTATGATCGATTGAGTCTTTTTTATATTTGACGATGGTGTCGTCCTGTTCGAGGTTAGAGAGCACTTTTTTCAGCTTAACTGCTTCTTCTGCTGGTTCTTTTCGATCTACAACAATGTCTTTTTTTGGTTTAGTAACTGGTTTAGTTTCTTTTTGTGGATAAAACTCATTCGTTGTTCGTTTAACGATTTCTTTTTTGGATACTTGTTTTTGATGGGTGGGTTCGTAATCATGTTTTGGAGTTATGGCTTCGCTGATATTTTGATACTGTTGTTGGTCATCATGAAAAATTAAAATTTTATTTATTATAATAATATACTTTATTGTCCGAAAGAATACATGATTCCATAGACAAAGTTTAATATTATTGTTAGGTTGGGCATTTGTGAGAACATTGGGAGCTATTATGATATCAGCAGAAAACATATTAAAAATATTATATAAGCATACCTTATTTTTGGTAAAGGATATTTCCTGTTGACTCTTCTCCTGGATTCTACTCAATCTGAACAAATCGATAAGACAATCTGGGTTATTTTCGCATTCAGAAAAGAATTCTTTTATCGTCCACTTGTCCTTCCGACAACATTTTTGACAATGTTCTAATTTCTCCAGAGATCCGCGTATATTTATAGTTACTGTGTCGCCTGCGACGTATAGAAAATTCTTTTTTTCTTTTCTACAGCTGCAGCTACTTTGTAGTTGGTTCGGGCTCATAATGGGATTGATCCTTTTTTTGTCGAGGGTTTTGAATAATTTGCCATTATTGAATTTGATAGTGATTGACGGCTAAATTCATATGTCACGATTCGTTTTGAAAAATGGGAGTGCCAATCTTTAAAAATAAAAATCTCTATTTCGCCATCGAGTATCGCTCGTTTGGCGTCACCTGTGATAAAATGTAAAACAATAAACACAATTATACCCACCTGCAAAATGTTGTAATAATTTATAAAAAGGGGGCTAAATTATTTTCAACTTTAACATTACGTATTTTTATCCACAGCAACATTTTACTAAGACGTATTTGATCCAATAGTTCATTGCAATTAATCTGTAGTAAAAAAATCCAATAAAGGGAATATTTAAATGTTGTCTAATAAAGATACATTTGAACTACCGTTGAAAAATCGTCTTTTTGAAAGCCACGATTATGGTTTTTGTGTTCTTATTCTTGATACCGCTTGTTAGTTGGTCTCAAATTTCAATTTAAAACATATTTGCACTTAATTGTTCACATACTTACCCTTTTAAATGGTATTTATGATGTTTTTGAAGTGCCAAATAAAATTATTCCTTATTTGCAACCCGCCCTTACGAAATACTAAGTGTGTTACTAATCGGAATAAACAATGTAGTTAATAAAATTGGTTTTTAAATTAAAAAATCTACAAGTTATTTCAGAAAATTTACCTTTCATTTATGTACTGCTGTTCAAAATTATCGCACCACTCTGAAATTCTTTTTTGTTGAAATTATTAGTAGAGTAAGGCGTGGATGCAAGTCATGTTTGTGATGGCTGCGTATGCCTTGAATTAAAAGCCACGGCCTCTGACATCTAATACCTCAACACATGTTGTTTGATGGACACAAATATAATGTCGATGAGAGTTTTACTGTACGGGGTTATATGAGTTCATTAACAATTTGTGTTAGTCCATAGGAATTTAAAAAATGTATACATACAGATCCATTCAGGATACTACGAACACGGTCAAACTGATGACCAATTTACCCTTGTCCGCTACTGTCATTCCAAAGCTTTCGCATGTGACATATTTGGAATAACTTTATACATTTCACGACAGAGTTGAGTATTAATGGATATTTTATAAATAAATGAAGATAAAGAACAAACATAACATAGACCTGAAAATAGCGAAATTTAATAATGCAAACATCAACCAGAATTTGTAATAATAGACAAAATTTTAAACAACTTTAATAGTTGTTGACGTAGCGCAGTGGGTAAGGTGTTGTTCTTACAGTCTACCTACGCAGATAGAGGTTTTTTTTTTTTATCTTTTTTTTTATTTTATTAATTTTCATTTTCTTATTTTATTTCTTTTTTTTTTTTCTCTTTTTTTGAGACCCTCCACAATAGTAAGAACAGCAACAGTTTAAAATTTATAAAAAACAACTTTGATTTCGTTTTCAAATGGAAAAAAATTCAATACAAACATTAAAAAATAGAGAACAAACATTGAACATTAAAAAAAAACGATAAGATTTAAAAAAAAATACAAAACTAAGATTAAAAAATAAAAATTATAAAATGGAATCCAATAAACAATAATAAATTAAAATCAATATTAAAAGAACACGAATTTATTTTTAATGTAATAGGTGCTCAAATAGACCTCCTTCTTGGGCAAAACAGTACCCCAAGCGATCGTAAAATGATCGCCTTACTTCAGCCAACATATTGGGACTAATAAGTTGAACGGCTTCTGAAATTTTCACTTTCAGCTCATCTAAGTCGTTAGCTCTTTCTTCCCTGAATTTGTATATCTGAGACTTTAAATAACCCCACAAAAAAAATCACAAGGTGCGAGATCCGGCGATCTAGCTGGCCACAGAATTGTACCTTTCCCTGATAATAATCTGTTGGGAAATGTTTCATTTAAAAATTGCTGCACCGTCACACGATTATGCACAGAACATCCGTCTTGTTGAAACCAAATATTGTTAAATCGAGCTCCTGCCAATCGCCGTATCTCAGGGACAATATGGTGTCTGAGTAAATCCAAATATTAAACACTATTTAAATTACCCTCAATATAAAAAGGACCGATTACATTTTCACCTAGTATTCCCATCCAAACATTCAACTTTTGCGGGAACTGCGTGCGAACTGTTACAAATTTATGTAAATTTTCTCGAGACCAATATGGGACTTGGGATGGATTATGCCTGGCAAGTAATGAAAAAGTCGACTCATTGGTGAACACAACATTCTAAAGAAAATTGTTGTCATTGTTAACTTTATCCATTATTGCCTCGCTAAATTGAATTCGTCTGATATTGTCAGTTTCATAAATTTCTTGGCATTTTCTTACTTTATAAGATCGATATCCATGTTTTTTTAAAATTCTATTTACTGTGGTTTCACTGGAACCTACAACTTCCGTAACTTCTCTCTGACATATCATCGGATTTTCTTCCACAGTGGCACAAATCATAATATCCCTATCTTCTTGTTCATTCTGATTATCATTAACTCGAGCCTTTTTATGTTCATTGGGAGAAACGCAGCCATGAATTTCAAAATTTTGAACAATATGATGTACTGTTGAGAGTGATGGTATGGGCCTATTTTGAAATGTCGCCTCAAACAAACCGCTTATTTGTCGAATTGTGTTGCCTTGAAAATGCCATTTCACAATTTGTACTTTCTCAGCAATTTCGTAAACATTCATTTTAAATCTAATGAAATACTTTTCGCCCGCGATAAAAGCACAAAATTTGATGTCACATTCAAATTGCGGACAAGCGTCAATTGGTCATCATGTTTACCATGTTCCTAGTATGATGGTAGAACACAACCTTTACAAGGCGTCATAAAATCTATTAATATCCCCTGAGACAATGAAAAGGTCACAAGATGGTAAAAAGTTGGCGACGCTATCCTCCAATTCATCAAGGCAGCTAATAACAGAAGAATTAGGGGGGCGATGTATAACTCCAAAAATATATGTTTTTCCGCGAAACTTGGTAGAAATCCAAAGTTGTTCAAGGTTAGGAGTAATTCGCGAAAAAATTAAATTTTATTTGATACTTGAATTAATATAGAAAGCAGCATCTCCGCCTCTCCCATCCCTATCAACTTGGTAAGGATGAATAAAAATATTAGTAGAATCAATTTTAGGGTTTAACCAAGTCTCACTAATGCCAAAAAAAAGTACCTTTATTTTTGACAAACCTCATATACGACTGATAAAATTTGATATCTATTTGTTCTATTTCAAGTTTTAGACCATGCTCGACTTTTTATGAAAAATAACTTTTTTTTTTTTTTCATAAAATTAGTAATAAAAATCTTTTTGTGTGCCACAAACTGTCTACGTAAATTTTTGAACTCTCATAAATGCATTCCTAAAGTAAATAGGTAACATGCATGAAGTATATAATTTTTTATTAACCAATTCTTTTCTTTTTCCAATAATATTACAAAATTTAGAGTTTTTTTTTTTATTAAAATAACTCTTGGGAAATACAGAAAAACGTGTACAGGGTTGGGATAAAGTATGGAACCAAGTAAATATCTTTAAAAGGACACTGTACGAATTCGGAATAACAAGATCTTTTAAAACCTGCAAAAATATACAGGGTAACTTCTTTAAATTAAAAAAGTTGAGAGTATTTCCGGTAAAACCGGAAGTACAGTAGTAACAGAAAATATGGCATCAGATGCGTTATGCGTCATTGTACTTGCCTGCAAAGTTTCATAAATATCGTCTTTTTCGTTTTAAAGATATTTACTTGGTTCCATACTTTATCCCAACCCTGTAAGTCAAATTGAATGACTGAATGGTTTGTTTTTGAAAGTTTGGTTAAAAGTTAACGGTCAGTAAAACTAAAATTACATCAAACTAATATGGCGTTTGCTGTCTTCAACCTTAGAATATTTTTGAATATTACAGTTTTGCCAAGCAATTAATTTTTTTTTGTGAAATTAGACTCTCTGAATGGTGCTATAATTTTAAATACCTTGTAGGTACATTTCATAATTTTTTATGGTAAAATTTGTCTTAAAAAATAATTCTAATAAATTGTTTTAATTTTCAGGTTATATCTTCACCCAACAAGCAGTGCCAACTTCTTTCAAGTTCGGCGACGGAAATTCATGAATAATTTTGTGTTGTATTGTAACCTTTTATGTGACTGAATGTAAAATTGACTCTACTGACCAGTGAAAGTAGTTATTTGTACAGTTTCATTATAAAAATATTTTTCATTTTTTAATTAAGTGCCTTTTTATTAGAAATTAAGTAACAATACACACACAAACACAACTCAAAAAAAAAACAAACAAATGTTGATCGATCTTGACCGCTCGCCGCCACTGTCGAGCCGTTGCTTCTAATTTTTTCTTTTTCTTCTTTTCTCCTTATTCTTGTTCTTTTCTGTTTTTGTACATAGTTTTTGTTTTTTATTATTATTATTATTATTTTTATTATTATGACTAACTATTATCAAGGATTAAAGTTATTTGAAGAAATCGGAAGTCGTTGAGTTGGATTGAACATCAGATTGTTTTTTGAACAGATTATTTATCTTTTTATACATAATAGTTGAATTTTTATTTATAAATTATTATTGCATTTTAATAAATGTCTTGCTTTCAGATTTTTTTTAACGTTTCCCTCAAATATCCATGTAATTCCTTAAATGATCCCTTCTGTATCGCTTCAAAAGTATTATCAGTAATAAGATTAGTAAAAATAGATGATGCAGAATATTCGCTTCGCTTAAATCAGAAGGAACTTCTAATGATAAAAATTACGTTTCAAACAAACAAAAAAGTAATAAAATATTCATATCCAATATAAGAAACTAACAAAAAGGCATATCAAAATGTTTGGCTTACGTTATTTATACCTCAAGAGAGTCATGTCAAACGTCAAAAACATTAAAATGCATGTGAAACGTCAACTATTTCTCGTAAACGTAAAAAAGTATGTCAATAATCGGACATTCAAAAAATATATGTCAAATGTTCTATTTATGGGTTGTAAACGTCAAAAAAGTCATATTAACTGTTAGAATTATTTTATAAACGCCAAAATACATAAATGTCAATAATATAAAAAATCTAATACTATTAATGTATGCTTTAAATATTGATTTAAAATCATTAAATGTCAAACATCCCACATCTCGTAAAGGTACAAAAAGTTATGTCAAATGTTTGAAACAGACTGAAGTATTTCACTCGTATTTAGCGAATGTCTGATAACTCTTGTATGATTTTAAAACCATAATACGAAACATAAAGCATTTTTTTTATTACATTAGGAAAAATTTTCAGATTTGAGACTTGAATATTCATTTATTAGAAATATTATAAATCATGGGCTGTTCTTTGAACGTAACAGATTTGGTTTTCTCGACTACGACCGCAGGAGCAATTCTATTGGACAAAATGGAGAATCGTCTTAAACTGTTTCTAAAACTGTTCATTCTGGAAAAGTTTGTTTCGCTGACCAGGTTCGCCATGATGGTGTTGTTTATGAGGTCCAACGTTAAATCTGGAATGCGTGTTACGTTCGTATCTGGATGGTCCTTTAGCCACTTCATTAGTTTTCGGAGGATGTCGATTTGGTGTTCCAGTGAAAGCTGAAATAATAGTTTAATATAATCTACAAATTATAATATTTATTTACAAGTATTTATAAAAATAGTATTCAAATAATTTAATTATTGCCGCATGCAATATTCCTAAGAAAGGGAAATTTCGCGAAGTGAAATGTCTAGTTGGCAGTCGATGTCTAAATCTTTTTTGAAATTAATTTAAACATCATATCTTGATAAAACCAGTATCTTTGGCTGCGAATAGCGGTGAGTTATTAGTCATTCAAAAAATATATCTCGGTAGAAATTATATTTCTACTTTTTGGTAAGTGTTTTGGATTAATGAGAATGGACTTGTATGTAGTTTTATAAGTTTTATTTTAAACAATAATTGTCACTTGAAAATTTGTTACATGATAGCTCTTTTTAACGTATTACATTTGATTCTTTCTTGTCTACCACGAAAGCTTGTCTGGTTTTGTTCCGCGTAAATCTGTTGCATTTTAAAAAGTTTAAAACAATTTTCGATCAGGTGACATCAGAATAACGGTTATATTGTCTCACAGCTCGCCGCGATACAAAAATGGAGAACAACAGATGCACTGTCTTCGGCGTCGTCACAATCAGGTCGACAGAGTTAATAAAACACACTAGACCATTAGTCCGGGAAACCAAGAACAAATTATAGTCAGAAACAGTAAGTTATAAGTTTATTTTTTAAAAGTCAAGTTAAATTTATTCGGTATGGTTTAATAATTCCTTTTGTGTTGCTGGAATTACACATTGTTTTTATTAATTTTTGTTGTTGGAAATTTTTAAAAAGTTGTTGTTTTATATCTCATACAATAAGAGCCTCAAGAAAAACAGATTTTATTTTTGGTTAGGGCAACTTCAATTTATTCCTTGTTTTACATTGGAAAATAAAACATTGGTGTGGCACTCGGGGACTGCCGCGGTAAAGCTATTGCATAGCATTTTTTTATCAACTTATGCAATTATAATTATTAATTTATTTTATTTATGCAGTATTTTTTTTCTTTGATATTAATTCAAGTTTTTCTTTGATATTAATTCAAGTTATACTTTTTGAGCGTGGTGACCGATAAGAAAATAAATATTGTTCTTTTATTGAATAAATGAGAAGTTAATATTGTTTAAAATATTTTTATTACCTTACAATACATGTAGGTTATTCAGGAATTTTTATCATTGAAACTATAGGTTTATGGTAACTGAAATAAGAAACATAAGTTTGAGACTTGATATCCTCTAAATATCTGAAAAATACCGCGTCAATGGTGGTCCCATATTTCAGATTCAATTTTTCCGAAATTGTGTCTAAAAGAGAGAATCAGTTATGAGCAGTTAGCAGCTAGTCTACACGCATACGTCTAGTCGCACGCACACAAAACCGTGCCGAAGTCTGCTGAACTGAAACGACGTTAGACGATGCACGGCTTTCAACGCCGCACCGCTGTGCCGGTCGGAGTTGGGAGTATTAGGTTTATTTTCATTACAGAATTTCTTTTTCGTTTTTACGATTTGAGTTTTTGATTTTTCGATTTTCTTTTATTGAATAAATGAAAAGTTAATATTGTTTAACGCCGCACCGCTGTGCCGGTCGAAGTGGGGGGTGTTAGGTTTTTTTCGTTATGGTTTCGTTTTTTCTTGATTCGGTCGCCGCGCTCAAAGCCTGCGATAAAAGCTATGCAATAACTTAAAAATCCTCGCACAGTTGCCGGGCTCCCTTATACCGCTGCCGGGCCCCCGTTTGAGTTCGAGCCCCGGGAATTAGTCCCGGCTGTCCCCCCCTCTTGTCTGCCCTGTCTGAACATACACTAGTAATCGGGGATCGGAGAATCACAAGTAAGGAAGTTATACATAGGGGATTTTTAGAAAGTAAAAGATAATTCCTAATTTGATTGTTTTCCAGTTTGCAGTCATATAGAGTTTTCTAATATTAACATATTCTTTATTATTTGTTCTTTCTTTTAAAAATACTAATAATATAATGGGTTTTGTTTTTTATTTTTTACGATTAAAATTTAATTTTTAAGTTTTTCCTTTTTAAAAATGTTAGTTAATGTATTTCAGAATTTTTTTGTTTTTTTTTTTTAACATTAAAAACTTTGTTTTCTACAAATTTCGTTTGATTTTTAAAATCTATAGTTTTTTGCTAAGATTACCGATTTTTCTCTATAATTCTACCGATTTTCGGTTGACAAGGCCTGGCAACACTGGTAACACTTTTCTTTTAAATTTTCAATGTAAAATTGACCACAGACAATTAACAATAATTTGCGTTAATCTTGGAGCCGTTGCACATTTGCATTTACTAATAGAAAGTTATTTAAATCGCTGCAAAAAGTGCAAATTGTTAATTTCTGTTAATTTTTCAAGGTTCCGCGGACCTTGTCCCAGGTTGCAAATTTACCAGATTGTTGAGAAAAATATTATTAACATGTGCAACCAATTTTCAAAACTTTGCATTTTTTTTTTTGACACAATTAGAAGAAAATAAACAATTAATTTCCTATTACTTAAAAAAATATATTTCCTTTCAAAATAAAAGGTTGCAAATTGCAATGGCTGTTCCAAAAACTTGTATATAGGTCATTCACTGAATTTACACCCGGATTAAGAAATAAATGAAAGATTTGACTGGTCAGTTGTATTTTACACATTTACTAATGGGTGGCGTTATTTTGTATATTGCAAGGGGTTCTTATAGAAACAAAATAAATATAAATTTTAGGTATTTAATTTTGCCTCAGAAAGCTTAAAGGAGATAGTTACATGATTTTGTTGTTTAATAATAGTTTATTCAGAACAAAAATTTTAATTTACATACACAGTTTTACCCTGCGATTAAGTAAGTACGATGATTAAAAATAACATAACTTTTAAAATTCTATATTAAACAGTGATTATTATAAATAATTGTCTTTTGACATACCTATAAATCTTCAGCATCACTTTCAAAATTTGTGTCACTAGCGTCGCTGTCATCATTAAGGGATATAATTATAGGGTTGATTTCGTTTATCCTGTTTTCACGTGTCCACCAGTCTTCAATTAATTTATCACATTTTTGAACACTTTTTTTGCCAAATTTCTGGGGTTGATGTATCCAGTGCTTAATTCCAATATAATTGTCATTATACGCTTTACATATACCCCAAATGTGTGTGGGGTTAAAGTGACAATGGTACGGTGGAAGCCGTAACACATCATGTCCATAACTATGTATGACTTGATCTACCATATAAATTTGTGGTGGTTCATGCCGTTTGGCTAAAGTTAACAACTCAGATTTAAGGGCGTATTGTTGAAATGCAACATTTTTGTTACGTGTAGCCATTCTTGTATTTTGGCTACAGTCCAATTCTGTCTTGGCGGTTTGTTTAAAAGTTCTGTATGATAGCTCGCATTATCTATATAACAGACGGTTCACTTAAATTTGGTAATAGTTTTTCATTTAACCATTTGATAAACATATCCGAGTTCATGTTATCGTGGTAGTCTTCTGATTTTGATTTAGAGGAAAATATTAATCCTGCACCATCCACAAATCCATTCTTTCCACTTGCGTGCAAGATTATGTGTCGCTTTCCCTCACCATTAGTATGTTTTATTGATTTTATATTTTCATCTTGCCATATTCTTTTCGTCCCACCTTTGGAAAATATCCAGGTTTCATCCAAATATATAAACGAAGCTCTATTCTCTTTTAAACGAGTGTATTCTCTTAAAAAATGTATTCTTTTGTGAACAACATTATTTTTTTCACATAAAGCTTTTCTATTATCTTCTTTCTTAAATTTGAAACCTATTTCTTTAAGCAACTTCCAAAGACTTGTTCTGCCAAATTCACCAATTTGTATTTCTCTTAAGTTAGCCAGCAATGTGTCTAAGTTGACATGTTCCTTTTTCGCACGCATTTCATACACCATATCACGAATACGAAATTTTGTCCCACCAGATATATCAGACGTTTTCAGTTTTTTGCGAGGTGTGTAATTTTTCTTTTTTTGCTCTCTCCGCTTTTGACGTTTTTCAAAACATATTTTAATTTTGAATCACTAATACCGAGAGCACAGACGCGTTCATGCACACTCACTACTGTCTTTAAAGGTCCTCCGTTATCTTTTTTCGCCGTAAAATACTTATAATACAACTTATAAGTCATCTACACATAACACGCGCTTCGGCATTTTCAGTTTCGATATATGTTCTCTTCGAAATCCAAAACTGAACTAAATAATTTAGCGAAATTAGTCCTATATAACATCAGTACAAAAATAGAACATTAATTTTATACCTAAGAAGGGGACTTCCGGAAATTCCTGACCATAAAGCGTTTATTGTATTCGGAGAAAATGGTATTATCATAAACAATGTCCAAAACAAAATTATAAATATTTTCATTTTTTCGTGTATTACTTTAAAGTCTATTCAAATTTAATTTACGCCTGATGTAAATAGAAGCAGGTGGACGCTAAAATTGAGCAGGGCCGTATTTTACTTTTCCGTCTTGCAAAAATGTAAAATAAAAGAGTGTAATTGAGAAATTATTTTTTTATTACGATAAAAACATTTTGTAAACTAAAACTATAAAATAAATGCCATACACGGTCTCCCAGACTTTAGTGACATTTCTGGACGAAGACAGGTGAGCGACATAAACTGCGTTAACCTGCAATACAAATTAATAAATGTATTTGACTTTAAAAGAGATGTTTTGCATTATATTTAGTTCATTACATATGTCTACTGTGATACAGAGCAATCTTCCTTACTTGACTTAGCACTATTCTGAATTGGATAAATTTGTTAGACTTGAAGGGCTATCTTCATTAATCAAAATTACAAGTGGTTCTACCTGAACCTCTATAATATTCAACTCCCACATTTTTACTTCAACTTTTTGGCGAACATGGTCGATACACTTTTTCCATTTTTCTGGAGAAATTATTAATATTACTTCTTCAAAAAGAATTTTAATGTCTCCAGATTTAAATGTTGAGTTTTTATCTGCTACGTATTGTTTAACGTCAACCTAGATTAATTCAATAGGGTTAAGTTCACAATGATACGGAGACAGGTAAAGTATTATGTTGCTTTGCTGCTTAGCCATTTCATCTATTACATACCTATCATAATGTTTATGTTGCTTACCAACTTTTAGAAGTTGGATCTTAAGCATTTGGTAGTCGAATTCAATTTTTTTCCCTTATAGCCATTTTTAAATATCACCTTTTTTAGACGTCGTTGTAGGTATTTTTTCCAGCTTTCTCTAATAATAATGCAGTTATCTTCTAATTTTGGTAGGGTGTTTGAAAACCACTCTTTGAACGATTCTCCACACATTTCTTCATGGTAGTCACCCGATTTTTCAACTCAAATACATAAAGTGCATTAGAGACAAAGCCTTCTTCACTTCCAATATAGCATATAATGAGCTGTTTTTACGCACATACCTGATGGGTTTTTAAAACCAGTTAAAAGTTCATCCAAAAAGGCTTGTCTATATGATAAAATATCGAAACATACTTTTGATTTGGTGTGGCCTGCGTTAATCCAAGTCTCATCAAGATAATATATTTTTTGCTTCTCTTCTCTGTACCGTTTTATTTTTTGTGGCGTAACGAAACAATTTCATTTTTGTCTAAAAGCAAACTATTTTTTCCTCGAGTTTTAAATTTAAAATTAAGGGTTTTGAAAAGCTTGTAAAATGAAGCTCGCTTAAAAGTAGACAAATATGGATCATCGTTGACTTCTTATAAAACCTTATCGATTGTTGGAAGTTAATTTCTAAAGAAGAATTAATGTACTTTGCGCCTTACTGCATTTTTATCAAAATCATCCACAGAGCCACTAATTTGTTTATAACGTAGCTTTCTTTTTGGTTTAGAAAATTTATGAATCTGCCTATACTCCTTCATAACATTAAAAACTGTTTTAGCGCACATCCCTGTTTTATTAGCAACTTATAAGGGTTCTATAAAATTTAATACTTATAAATATTAAGAACCATTTCTTATTTAGTACGGATGACCAAATGTCCCTTTTTCGGTCGCTTTTTAGAAGGAGTAAAAACATTTTTCTGGACTTTATCTGCTGTATCTGTGGAGGACATAGTGTCACGCAGCAGTTACAAAATTAAATGTCCATAAAATAGAGTAAAAAATGTTCAAACTAACAACAACCACAAAACAAAAAAAAAATAAATAACACAATATATGTATATCTAAACTATATCAAACATACAAAATGTCCAAACTAACCAACACGGTGAATGCTACCAAAACGCCGTTTATAATTATCCAAATTGAACTGAATTCGACTCTAACAAAAAATATTTGCGCGTCATCTAAATGACTAACGACCGATTAACCAATAGAAGCGCAAAAAAATGTCACGTGAGCTGTTGCTGGATGGGAGAGATTGTTTTGACACGGCGTAAATGAAATCTGAATAGACTTTAGTAATTTAATTTTAATAAACATAATTACATACTACATAGGTATTTAATAATTAAAATATATTCACCCTCTACCCACCGGAGGACTACGCTTATTTTACTCAACTACCTGATGCGAAATTATCCTGTAGATCGGCTCAGTCGTGCATCTGTTTCTTAATCCGATATGGGTGTAAAATCAGGAATTTTTTTATCTATGATATGAACAAAAACGATATTTTATAAAAAAAATCATATTCCGGACTTTTAAAAAGTTGCAAATCTGAAATAATGTTGAAAATAATACTGTATATATTGCAGCAGTTTTGTAATTTTGTTTAGAAAGTTATAATAAATTTTATTCTTTTGCAATAATTATTTTAATATATTTTGGACCTCAGATAAAGTTTCAAAATTAAATTTATAATTATTTCAATTTAATAAATGTTTAAAAAAATTTGTGAATTGATTATCTTTAATTACTGGCCTCTATTAGACTGAGTTTATAGAAAATTTACCTAAATCGCCTCTAAATCTTTCCTTATATTTTGAATTAGGTTTTGTTTTACCTTTGTCAAGGCCTGTCGAATTTTGAACTCGTGTCTAAAAGATAACATGACAAATGTTACTTTTTTGCTGCACAACCAGGTATATTTAGAATTGATTCGAAAGCGTTCTGCTTCGTCCATTTTTATTTGTTGAATATCCATTAAAATTTGTACCTAAAAATACCAAGATTTTTCTTATATAACGTATATTTAATTTATTTTTTAGTAGGAAAAAAATTCGTATTTACAATTTTCAAAATTATAAGCGAGTTATTAAGTTTAAATTGAAAATATACCTGTTCTACGAACTGAGATATCATCATCTTCTATTTTAAACGTTAAATATATGTAAGGCTCTATAAAACATCGGCTTTTTGGATTGATTGTGATGTGAAAAAAAAGCAGTATTTTGATTACAGGTATTATATCTGCCAGTTGTGCAAATAATATCAGGTACGCTACCGAATATTATTAATATTTTTAATACCTACCACGAAGATTAGTTATTAGAAATAATAATCTAATTAAATTGATAAAATTAAGGAATGTGCAAACAGTTTTGTTAATAAAGTCAAAATTGAATCTATTGAAGTGCTTTCCGAGAATATGGGATCCTACAAGTAAATATAAGGTGATATAACTCGGTGAATATAGCAAAATATACAGAGTGCTCTTTAATGATAAGCGATTATTTAAAGGTGTGAATCTACATGAAAAATTAATAATAATTTGCTTTATAAACTATATGCTCTAAAAATATTCTGTTACGACTATACGGGGTGCTAAAGTTTTAGGGAAAAAACGGAAATTAATGAATATTTTTCGTAACCGCTTGAGATATTTCAATGATATTTTAGTACGGTGATTAATACTCTTATCAATCACTATATTTAATAAGATATTTAATCAGACAGTAACTAACTATTAAATTGCAATATGTAGATTTTAAATTCCTGCCGTTTTATCGTTGGTACTAACTTTAGTACTTTTGTTGATCTTTTAGTACTTTTATTCATTTTGTTGAATCTAGTACTATTTAGAGAAATCTAGTACGTTTTTCTGATACATTTTTATATCGCCGTGACTAGCAGTACATCGGATGTACACGAAATATTTGTAAATCGGATGTATCTTAGAATATATATATATAGTCAGGAAGGAGGAATCCTAAACGACCTTGGAATCGCGATGGTATCTAATTTTGACAGTGAACTAGACAAATATGGCGACAAGTGTTTCCGGTCTACCAGTGACGTAGTGTCATAAAGGGGCGTAGAAAAGAAAATAATAAATTCTCATTTGAATATTATCTAAATTTACCGATTTCTCTCATTTTAACGAATTACTATTTTTTTTTAACCTTCATTATGTGAATAAATTTTACTTTAAAATTGCATGTTGGGTAGGATAAATATAGGAAAATATTTTTAAGATAATTTATAGAGGGATTTCATTTGAAAAATCAAAGCAATAACGTATTAAAAAAAATATATTGACTTTTTTACGTCTTTATTATGACAATGTCTGTATTAATCTACATTTTACAAATTATTAAGGTTTGAAAAGTAAATATGTTTTGTAGATATGTGTTAAAAAAAATTAAATATTCTATACTTATATTTAGGTCAAACACCGCTGTGATATTTCTTTCTTAGATTTTTTTGTTGGAGTACATATAAAACTTCCTAATATCGAAGAGAATTTTTGATCATTTTATTACATAATATTATTAGTAATATTTTTTGCAGGACAATTTTGCATAAGCAGGTAAAACACCTTTCCAAGAAAGGATCCTATAATGTAATAATGATTCTATGAATGCAAAATAGATTATTTTTAAATGTACATTCAACGCATTATTTGTATGCTTAGTCCAGTTATGATGAGAGTCAATTTGTACTCTAAGGTATTTGATATCATTTGTAATACTTATATGAAACTACTGAACGTTACCTTTTATTGTTTCTATAGAAAGGGGCAATCTTTTTGTAATTGTATAATGGAACAGCATAAGTTTTATCAAAGGTTTGTAAGTTTTTATAATTAAACCATTCGAACATTTTTATAAGATCTGTTTCTATTTAGGATCGATTCCACTGCGTTGTGTTAAACGAAGTTTAAAATGACATTTTATTCTCATAGTTGATCGCAGACGCACCTACCATGTTTGTTTACAAATTTAAAATATTAAAACTTTAAAAAATCTTTAATGTGATTGAGAATTGAGAGAACAAAATAATTGCTTATGAAATGTAGATTATTTCTTCCTACTTCTAGCTATGCTGCTATATCCACAAGACGATCAACTGACCATGGAGTCTATTCTGTAACAATTCCTTTATCCGTTAAAATATTGAAGGCCTTTAAAAATATTTTTGGATTTACTAAATTACTTCTGTCATTATTTAAACGGTTTCCTTTAAAATACATTAGGGCCGATTCCACCGTTGTGTTAAACGGAGATTAAAATGACATTGTTAATGTAAAAATGTCATTTTAAACTTCGTTTAACACAACGATGGAATCGGTCCTTAGAGGACTATGTTAAAGAAATCCGTTTAAATAATGACAGAAGTAAATTAGCGAATACAAAAACATTTTTAAAGTTCTTCAATATTTTAACGCATAAAGGAATTGTTACAGAATAGACCCCCATATTGTCTTGTTTGTCTTTTAACGTGGAAAATTTAAAATTAACACTAATACTAAATAAATACTAAAACATTATACATACTATTTAAAAATGTCTACAAAATACACGCTTGATAAAAGTTTAAATTAACACAAAAAACATCCAAATTATTAACAAATTTTAATCACTAAAATTATAAACCAATTTTAGAAACCATTTATCATATAATGATGAGTCATCCATAGTACAACATGACTTCCGTCAGATCGATTAGATTAACGCGGACATAGCATGCTCCTTCCTGACTATATATGTTCTAAGGATACATCCGATGTACAAATAATTCGTGTAGAACAGAAGTAAAAGTTGGAAATGCTTTTGCCAGTTCTCCCACTTTATACACATAAATTGACAGGTTGGCACCGGATCTCACCGAAGTGGACGCGATACATTGGCGTACAAAATTATTTTATAGATGTTAATAACAATTTCGAGTAAATAGTTTAATAAATTGTGAATAGCTGCTGAAATTTTGTAAAATTATAATTTGAATATTATAATACATGTTTAATAATTATTTATAATCCATAAATACATGCGATTGTCCGGTTCCGCCGATAACAATTTAAAATTACTTATTCTATGAAACGACACTGGCAGGTAAACATTACTGTGAAATTCTCGGAGCCGCCCGACGTGGTTTGACGTTTACCCCCTCTCTATCTACCAAAAGACTTTTCAACTTTTACTTTCTCTTTACATCCGATGTACTGCTAGTCACGGCGTTTTATTTTCGTTGGCAACACCAGTGTTGCCAGTCTAGTACATTCTCTAATAATCTAACGTGTAAAATATATTGTTAGGATCTTCCTTGTTTGTATTCGTTGTCTATAAAGGCTCTTTTGTTCTTAAATGAACCAAACCACTTAACAATTTGAAAAATATGGTCTATTTTATAAAATCTGGTACATTTTTATGAACTTTGGTATATTTTTTAGACAAATCTGGAATCTGGTACATAAAAAAACATATTCTGGCAACACTGTCACATTCCTGACATTCCTGTCATTTAATTTATCTGTCATCTGACCAAAATAAGAAAACTGTTTTTGTTTATACTTTTAGATAAGATAAAAAGCATTACCTACTTATCGAGTTATTATTGATATTAAAAAACTGTTTAAAGAAGCATTACTTACTGAGTTATTATTGTTATTAAAAAAACTAGTAAAGTGAATTTATAATATTCCAAAGTGACATAACTTACAAAAATCAAATTTTTCAAAATGATGAACATTATAATGCAGCAACAGCAGCAACAACAACAACAACAGCAGCAGCAGCAGCAACAGAATCCACAACCCCCTCTAATGCAACAACAAGTTCAACAACCCCAACCAGTACAACAGCAGCAACAACAACATTTAGATAATATTTCAAAGATAAAATCACTTATTGGACCATTACGTGAATCTCTTTCGGTAAATAATTACAAATAATAGATTATTTTATACATTTAGATAAATTTTACTATTTTAGAACACTATAAAAACTTCTGCTCAAACGTTGAATCAAAATAGTCAAGTGGATGTGGGATCTCAGTGAGTATTTGTAATTTAATGTTTTGAATTAATTAACTTATAAGTATTTTACTATTTTAGGAAAGGTGTAGATGTACAAATCCCTCGTTTCGATAAGAATTTAGAAGAGTTCTATTCAATATGTGACCAAATTGAATTACACTTGGTAAAAAAATCTTATGCACTATATACAAATATGATTTTAATTGTTGTTTTTTTTTTAGAAAACTTCATTGAAATGCTTGACGCAACAGGAGAGCAGCCAAAGGTATTTGAATCTCCCTGTAGCTCCTACAAAAAGTGAAAGTTTGGGGTTAAACGACAACACATTGACCTATCCCCAATTTCTCGCCACTGCTACTGCTCAAGTTTCTTACACCAAGGAAATTCACGATACTTTAGTGGCCGCTGCGCAAAATATATCACCTTCAGATTGACCAAATTGTGTTTAAATATTTCTATTATTTATTTTTGTGAAAAATATATCATAATTAATCAATAAACGTTTTTTATTTAGGAATAGTGACTTTTTTTGGGCATTTGGACATGAAAATTCACACTAGGTCATTGATAGTAATAAAGAAAAATATGCTAATAATATTAAACATTTACAATAAATCTATTTTTGAGAAAAGTATAGTTTATTCATAAATATAAATGAAGTATATATATAAATTAATTAAGATGAACATAAAAACGTTTATTTTTATTGATTGCTAGATTTTCTGTTAAAAAATTGACAGATTTGAAGGAGCGTATTTCGATCTGAATAAGAATAAATCGTCTATCTAAAGCACACTTATCCTATATCCAAAAATCCAATTTTTGACAATCACAAATTTAAACTTCAGCAATACCCAGACAGCACACCAAATCCTTTGGATATCTACTGAACATCCCAATATCCACTGAATGTCCAGTCCATGGTAGATATCTATTTTATATCCACGAAATGTAATTTATATACATGCAAATGGCCATAAATAATAGTAATTATATAGCAAATTATTAAAAAATTACGCCATTGTGGCTAATAGTACCGTTCAGATATTTAAAATTAATTTTTTTAAGGTGTATTCAATATCCCATGAACATCCACTAGATGTTATTTGATTCTGCTTACTAAGTATAGATGGCGATACCACTAACGCATCTACTCATGCTCGACCCGCCGTAATTGAGTTCGATCGAAATCTGTGTCCTATTAACTCCATTAGAGACTGGAGTTGAGAATTTTCATTTATTGCTGAAGAGTCCTAATAAGGATGACTTTGTCCTTAGTGGACAAAATCAAAGGCAGAGTGTTGAAAATATTTTTTATCTCTGTTATTTTCTTTCGACGTTATTCAATAATCATTGGTTACTTATGAACCTCTACCAAAGAATACATACCCAAGAAGCGAAACTGAATGAGTTTTTCTATGTACCAAAGTAGCAGCGACCTTGACGTAAATGGGAACTTAATACACTGAGAAACGTATAATTCCAATCAATTTTTGTTGTTTGGTTCATGAGAATTAAACACATACTAAAGTTAAAATGACGGAAAATTCTTGCTATATTAATTGATTCTGGATACGACCCTGTCAAAATGTCGCCAATCTAAGCAATCGTTTTGCTTCGGCTCCCCGTATACCGAAGACTATAGTATTAGCTAAATGTTTTTTTTTTAATTTGTAATATTTAATTGTACTCAAATACCATAATTTATTTCTTCATGTTAAACACTGGTTAAAATCACTGAACAAACGCCACCCCCGTTAAACTAACATTTTTATATGTATATTAGTTTGAAACACTTACCAGAAACAATTACTACCTTTTTTGGAGGATCAATTGTGAGAATATCATAGCTTCGTTTGCATTTGGAGAATACTGTGGGTACAGCATTGTCAAATAATCGTCTTCTATAAGATGTACTGCTTGAAAAATATTTTTCTTTAAAATGTTGTTCACATATTCTATATGAAGATAAGCTACTAGGAACTGTGAAATTTAAATCTTCACGATTAAAAGCTTTTAACCAGAGTTGAGCTCTACAAAATTATATTTATTAATACTTAATTTTTCTAAATAAATTTGAACAGTAACATTTCAGTACATACCTTATGGCATCACCTGGGAATTTAAACATTCTTAGCCCTTGTTCTGAAGTTGTAACACAACCACGAACAACGCAATGTATTTTTTTCATTGTAATAAAAACCTTTAAACTATCTAATATATAATTACTACTTTTAAATAAACCTACTGAAATTTTCTGAAAACGCTAAGAATAATATACCAAACGTCATACACTACATGAACTGACAACTATATTTGACGTTAAACTACCTCTAAAACACTGAGAAAACTTGGCAATTTTTTGTCCACGAATCGCCCATTTAGTGTCGCTTCTTGGGTAGGTATTCTTTGCCTCTACTAAAGATACCCATAAAATATTTTGCTGAATATCCGAATATCTTCTATATCCTGGGATATAGACGGACATTTGGTTGGATATCCATTTTGGATATATTGAATATCCACAAAATATATTCTGTGGATATCTCTGTGATTTCTTGTATTTTCTGGAAGATACCCATTAGATATTTTGCTGAATATCCATTAAGATATCTTCTATATCCTGGATATAGACGGACATTTGGATATCCATATTAGATCCACGGAATATTTCTGATATCCTGTGGATATATTGGATATCCACAAAAGATATTCTGCGGATATCTCTGGGATTTGGTGTGTTGTCTGGGTAGGGTTTACTTGTTATATTTATTGATTCTAAGAGGTTTGTGAATACTGATTGAGCATTTTTTTAATAGTTGAAAAAACAGACCGGAGATTCAATATGTGTACCTTACATTTCAAAGAACAATCATCGTATCTCCTTATTCAAACCTGCTAAACTATATGCGATTTTATGAAGACTTACAGTAAAATAAGCTACTAATATTGTTATAACTTGTGTAAGATAATAATTATCTAGATATTTAATATTATTCTTTAAAAATCATAATGAAACCGAATGTATTAATTCTTTTTTAATCTATATATATAAAATTGTTTGTCCTGACTGACTGACTGACCTATCAACCTACAGCCAAAACTACTGAGCCTAGAAAGCTGAAATTTGGAACATAGGTTTATTTTATAACGTAAGCATCCGCTAAGAAAGGATTTTTCAAAATTTTAACTTTAAAGGGTGGAAATTGGAGGAAATAGGGGAGGGATCGGAGCTTTTAATGAAACTCTTTGTTCTTTAAAGTTAGAAACATGAAAATTTAAATTACAGCTACTAAGCATAAATAAATAAGACGTGTTTCAGGGTTTTTCGATTTTCACATTTTAAGGGGGGGAAACGGGGGGTGAAAGTTTATATGGGACTATTGATTTTTTTTGTTCCCTTTGAAGTTAGAAACATGAAAATTGGAATTGCAGCTACTGACTACAAATTATTAATGACGTGTTTCAGGGTTTTTGAATTTTCACATTTTAAGGGGGGGAATGGGGGGTGAAAATTTATTTAGGATTATCTATGTTTTTGGTTCTCTTTAAAGTTAGAAACATGAAAATTGGAATTGCAGCTAATGAATACAAACTAATAATGACGTGTTTTAGGGTTTTTGGACTTTCGCATTTTTAGGGAGGGGGGAATAGGGGTGAAAGTTTATTTGGAGATATCGATTTTTTAAAGGTAGGAACTTGAAAATTGGAATTGTAGGTTCTCATCATAAATAAATTCAGAAGTGTTTCAGGATTTTTACATTTTAACATTTTAAGGGGGGAAATGGGGGGGAGAAAGAATTTGTTTAATAGTATGTATATATTTTTTTGTTATTTAAAATTTGAAACATAAAATTTGGAATTACAGCTACTGATTAAAAATCAAAAATGATGTGTTTCATGGTTTTTGGATTTTCACATTTTAAGGGGGGAAACGGGGGTAAAAATTTGTATGGAAATTACATTTTTTTGAACGTTGGAACTTGAAAATTATAATTGTAGCATAAATTAATAATGAAAATTATTTAAAATAAATAAAAATTAATAAAAAATAATTAAAATTAATAAAAATCATTCAAAATTAATAAAAATAAATAAAAATTAATAAAAATTGATAAAAATTAATAAAAATTGATAAAAATTAATAAAAATTAATAAAAATTAATAAAAAAATTTTAAAAATTAATAAAAATGAAAAAAGTGAATAAAAATAAATAAAAATGAGTAAAAATAAATAAAAAATAATAAATACAAAAAAATTAACAAAAATAAATGAAAATCAATAAAACTAATAAAAATTAATAAAAAGGAAGTCATATATTTTTTTATATTAATAACATACGAGAAAAGCCGCGGGCAATAGCTAGTATAATATATAAATTTAATTTTTTTTACATTTTGTAAAATTTCTCGAATATGGACCATTTTAGGAAAATGTATAGTACAAAAATGATAGATAATAATATTATAAATAACTTCTATTTGAAGAATTTTCTTTTCCAAACGTAAATAACATATTCCATAAAAAATGATTGAAATGGCATATGATCGAAATTCAACTGACCTTAATCAAATATTTTTGAAATAGATAGTATCTCTCTATGTTGCTGCTCTGTGTATTCAAACTTGATAGCTTAAAAATAATCTTAACACAAAAAAAGATCTAATAATTAAGACAATAAATAAATACCTGCTAGTATTTTCATAGTGGGGGTGCTCTAATCCCACACATGAACTCTGATGGTTGGATCTAAAAGAAAATAGAAATAATTTCCTAGTATTCTAATTAAAAAAACTTAACTTATTTGTATAACCTGTGCGGCCTCCAGCCATATCGCGGGTTACTTAGCAGAAAAATTAAACATTAAATAAAAAAAACCTAATTTACTAATATCGTAATAAATTTTGTTTCGATATTTTCATCATTAGTAGTTTTAAACATACAGGATGGGTCAAAGAAAACTTTACACCCCTATTTTCCGACCTTAAAACGAAAATCGAGAAAAAAAGCTCGAACCCGTCGATTTTTAATTCGAGGGGGAACAACTGCTTGTTTGGTTTTTTAATCCATGTAACTTTAATCCTCTAACAGGAGGAAGCACAACCCCCTGTTTTTGAATAGGGGTGAGGGGTATTGCAATACCTCATTTTGAAGATCTCATCGAGTAATATCTGGCCCCAAAATTTTTATCTATAACAGCTAAAACAGTAAAAGAGACAATGTGGAAAAATGTCTACGTAATAACAAACAAAAAGAATACTTACTTCTGTGATTAGTTTATTAAATGCTGGAAATGGCCACCATTCACTTCCATGCAGTAAAATAAGTTTTGTTCACCTTAAGGATAATTATTCTTATCAGACTGCCCAGACAGCACACCAAATCCTTTGGATATCTACTGAACATCCCAATATCCACTGAATGTCCAGTCCA